TTTGCTAACTGTTAGTTTCCTAGGGCTGCCGCAGCAAATTGCCACAAACTAAGTGGCCTACAAGAGCAACCACGTATCCTCTCACAGTCCTGGAGGCCAGGAGCCTGAGAGCAAGGTGCAGGCCATCCTGGCCCTTCTGAGAGCCCTGAGGCGTGCCCGTTCCAGACCTCCCTCCTGGCTACCGCCACTGCTGCCAGCAAGCTGGGTGTTCCTCGGCTGGTGGACACCTCACCTCAGTCTCTGCCCCCCTTGTCACGTGCTGATCTCCCTGTGTGTCTTCTCCATGTCTTCGCTTGGCCTCCGTACAGGGACACCAGTCATTAGCTTAAGGGCCCACCCTGCTCCAGCGTGACTCGATCTTTAATCCAGGAGTTACATCAGTAACAGCCCTATTTCCCAATAAGGTCATAGTCTGAGGTGCCAGGTGGACGTGAACTTGAGCGAGGCACCATTCCAGGGAGCACACTGACCCGGCCTGAAATCTCCTGCTGTTGCATCAGCCCGCGTGCTCTCACTTGGCTCCCTCCCTTCGGTCACGCTGCCTCCTTCCCACAGCCAGTTCTTTCTTCTTTTTCAGTGATTTGCCTAAAACATAGCTAAGAGCGCCCCTCTTCTGAGAATTCTGCTGTGCTTCCCCATTGATCTCAGCTGACCTTTTAAGCCAAATTGTAGGCGATTTGGAATTCTACGGCAAAATGTTTGAGTCTTCTCTGTGTCTACAAGGCAGCAACTAACACACCTTTGTCTCAGGCTGTCCCCCTTTGCCTAGCGTATTGTCTCTTCACGCGATCAAAGAGCCATCCACCCTTCAAGGTTCTGCTCAAATGTCACCTCCGCGTGAACTTACCCCTTACCACGCCCCATTTCACCCCCTCGAACTTAGTCATCCCTCTGCATTGTCATGCTGAAGCGACAGTCTCAAACCAGGGAACATGTGTCACGGGGTGCTCGGGAAAACGTTCCCCACAAGGGCAGAGAGTTTCAAGATCCACGTCTCATGTGCGGCCTCTTTCTGTAAACTGACGTTCCCGCGCCCCACACACCGCCTCCCGCACTGGGCCTTCGCCCCCGCGTGGGGGCAGTTAGGCTGCCCCAAGCGTCCCGCGTCATCATGCTGCACGGCCCGAGAGCAGACGCGCCCGCGGCCCGGCTCAGGGCGGCCGTCCACCCCGCGCTTTCTTTCTGCCTGTGTCTCTGACGGAATTTAAAGAAACGAGGAACACGGCTGCAGCCACATCCTTTCCACCAGCTCTTTAAAGTGAGTTTTCTCTGCACCTTTATCAGAAAAAGGAATAAACATCATTCTAACAATAATTAATTCTTTATTTTTCCATAGTTACGTAAACAAATTTTAAAAGCCTCATCCATCTCAGTAAGCAATGAGTATCCAATAAGACTTTCCTTTCTATGTTTATCAAAATGTGTAAAATGTCTTTACTCTTTACCAAATATTTCATCAAGGACTTACAAGGAATAGTTTTTTAAATCTATAATTAGTAATATAAATAAAGAAATACCAAATATAGCTCAAATGAGGCATAGTTATATAAGACATATCCATTGGTTTCCTCCTTTACCCCCATTCGATTTTTTGTTTATCCCATGAAATAGATGTTTTTTCATCTCTATTTACCTTTTTCAGTTCAGTCACTAAATTGCCTAAAGAAAAATACATTCCTAGCTTCTGTGTGTATGTAAGTACATATGTGTGTACATACATATATATGTGTGTATGTACATATGTATGTATATACATATTGATATGTGTGTGTATAGGCAAAGATTACTCCAGAAAAGAAGCTGGAACAAAGGAAAATGAGATGAAATAGACTGAGGTATAAATGCTCAACTAATACAAGAAGGGAAATGTGTAGTAGATGAAATATAGCTATGTGTTCGAAATGCTGGCATGCTTTCTAATAAATTTTTAGCATTTTAACCGTGAGGTAGGTTTGCACGGTACAGACTGGTGAGATTAAGTGGCAATAATATGGTCAATTAGGGCTTTTAGATAATTCAGGGAAAGGAAAAACATTCTCCTTAGATCTTAGGCTTGAATTAGACACTGTGACAGTTCGAATATCTGACTTTACAGTTAATGATCCAGCAACCCTCAACTTCACTTTTTATAGATTTTTTAGCACATCGAGACACAGCAAATAAGGCCAAACAAAAGGTTAGAAGTAGTGGGTTTATTTAGTCAATACACATTTATTAAAGACCTACCTCATCCTAGGTCTTGTGGAGAATAAAGAAAACTTACAGTTTTTGACCTTCAGAACTTTGGTCTATGATGATGTCATCTACGTACATCACTCCAAACATCCCATTCTCACCGATGACACCAAGATCTTGTCGCCACACCTGTATTTCTGAATGCCTCGTGGGTATTTCAGGCAAAGTCCTTTCACACAAAGTCCTACAAACATCTCGAATTGAACATATACACACACAAAAAATCCTCACTTTTTCCATACACCCACTACACGCAAACACCTCCTTTCTGAATTTGTTTATATTAATGTCGTCTTTATGAATCTAGTCTCTTGTAATAGAAATGTAGGAGTTAGTCTTGATTCCTTATGTGGATTTATCCAGAAGATCCAGGAAGTTCCAATCCTTTGCTTTCTGCCCGTGAGCAGTCCTTTAGTCCCTTTCCTGAACACGCTTGCTTTGCTCTGCGGCCTGCGTGGCCAGCGCTCATCTCCAGCCCTCCCTCTGTCGCTGCTTCTCCCAGATGTCTCCCCACCCGTGCCCACCCCTCCTCAGTGCTCTGCTGAGCTCCCTTTAGCCTACAGGTCCGTGTCCAAACTCCTCAGTAGGTCGTGCAGGAGCATCATAACCTGACCGAACGCACCTTCCCGGACCTTGCCGCCACCCTGCCAGCCCAGCGCTCCGTGCACACTGCGGTTCAGGCGCAGCAAACGCTTGCTAGCATGTCACTTCCTTGCCATCTCTGAACGCGCTGTTCGTTCCCAAGGCCTGGAAAGCCCATCATCTTTCATTCCTCTGTCCGAGGCCTTCTTGTCCTTCCAGACGTGAGATGTTTCTCTGCGAAGCCCTCCTTGATACCCCAGGCCGAGTTCTAGGTAGCAGCACTCTCTACACCTTTATTACTTATCATCACTTATTCATTTGTCACATCCTTGCCTCCCCATGAAACTGTGAGCATCGCTAGCCTCTGTCTCACTCACCCTTATATTTCCAGTACATAAAGTAGAAACTCCATAACTGTTTGATGGGTGAATAAACTTCCAAGCATACTAAGATTTTAAGAAAAAATCTGTGAAATGATATATATGACAATACTTTTTAATCATAAGAAAAAAAGGTTTTTTGGTTTTGCAGATATACTGCCCCCTATTTATTAAGATGTATCAGATTTTCTTCCACTGAAGCTCAGTCTTCACCATTCCAGACACTTGTAAAGGTCTTAGTGGGCACATTTGAAGAACCTTGATGCACAGGCAGAACTTTTATATTTGAAAGTGGTATAAATTATGCTATGATAACAAGAAGGGAAGAGAGAAAGATACCAGTGGTCTGGGAATCTGTGGACAATGCCAGCGATGCTGCATCTGTGGGCCGGGAAGGGACCAGGGGTCAGTGGAGAGGGGCCCACAGTAGGGCTCTCTTTACATGGAGCCTTCAGGTCGCCCGGTCCCCAAGTGGACTCCCTGGGTTCCAGTTTGGGAGTGAGATGGAAAGGGCAGGTGTGACTGAGGGGAGGTAAGGGTGGGCAGAGCCTGTGCGGGCCCGGGCAGACCCGCGTCGGACCTGAGGAGGAAGGATGCGGGGGAGAGAGTGAGCTCTAAGGAGAACCCGTGCAGAGACGCCATCTTTATGAAGTACATGGGTTTACACCTCATCCCCCGTTAGTCTGCTTGAATGTTTTCTTAGAAGGGAAGTTCCTTAAAGCAGGGGTCCCCAACCCCTGGGCCATGGACCAGTACTGGTCCGTGGCCTCTTAGGAGCCGGGCCGCACAGCAGGAGGTGCACAGCGGGTGAGGGAGCGAAGCTTCATCTGCATCTGCAGCCGCTCCCCAGCGCCAGCATCGCCGCCTCAGCTCCGCCTCAGATCACCAGGTGTTACATGCTCGTAGGAGCACCGGTCCCTGGTACCAGAAAGGTTGAGTTAGTTTGTGTAACAACCTGTCACAAACTTAGTGGCTTAAAACAGCACCCGTTGACTAGCTCCCAGTTCCGTAGATCAGTAGGCTGGGTGGGCTTGGCTGGACTCTGCTTAAGGCCTCACACCGCCAGAAGAAGGTGTTGTCCAGGCCTGGCTGGGCTCTTACCCGGAGGCGCCAAGAAGAATCTGTCCCAAGCTCATCCAGATGATCGGCAGAATGCAGCTCCTCATGGCTGTGGGACTGGGTCCTTGTTCCCTTGTTACCAGCTAGCTGGGGGTCACCCTCACCTCCTGGAGGCCTCATGCAGGTCCTGTCAGAGCCCCTTTCCTCTTCTGAGCCAAATGTGCAGAATTTCCCTCAAGTAAATCCTTCCGTGCCTCAGGCCTCTGGACTGCTCTGTCACCAGCTCTGCTGTTAGTGAGAGGCTCACCTGTATAACGTCCTTACCTTAGAGTTGACTGAGCCATGTGACGGGCTCGATTCCGGTGTAAAACCCACCGCATTGGCGGTCCCCAGCACTATGCGGGACGTGCACGCCAAGGGCCACCCTGGGATCCTGCCTGCCATGCCAGCTAAAGCTTTCATTCTGCTAATGATACGATTTAGTGGCGGAGTCACAGTTGAGATCCATGCGGGCAAGAATGGCCACTTGCTGTTTGCGGGTGCCAGCTGTTCCCTGGCACACCTGTATTGCAGCGGCAGTTTCCAGCAAGCCGAGTGCTGGAGTCATTCTGTTCGGCTGCAGAAAGGAGCAGCTAATCATCTTGGGTATATTGGGAAGGTGGAAAAACTTCGTCCCCTCCCTGTGTGTCTCCTCATGCCCTGTCTCCACCGCCACTTGTTCCCCTCCTTTATTTCAAAACACAGACGACTTGGGGCCCCTGTCATAAACGAGCACGCCGACGCCCAGCTCTGCGACCTGGTGAGACGGCTGCGTCAGAGGACAGCCCTCTACAAGGGGAGGTTGGCCGAAGGAGACATGTCCTCCCCCGAAGCCAGCCCCGACGCGGGTAAGCACTGCGCCTCCAAGCGCTGGAAGGAAGTTATGAGGGGACATGCATTTTGCAAGTGTCTTAGTTTGGGTTCCCCCAAAAGCAGACCCCAAGAAAATGATTTAAGTTCAGATTGTTGACATCCAGGGTGATCCAGGAAGGTGACAGCGGGCAAGTGAGACAGAGGGGAGCCAAGACAGTCCGGGGTGTCGACGAGAGGGTCACCCCAGTGAGCCACCAGGGCTGGACCAGCATGAAAGTCTGTGGCTCACCGTAAGAGGAGGCTGGGGGCTCAGCCCACTGACTCCTTCGCTCGTCGAGGGTTACTGCAGGGCTGCCGCTAACACCCCCGCCCTTGAGCAAGCCAGCTGGGAGGACACCCTCAGGCACAGAGGCCTCAGCCCCCGGGGTGTGCACAGGCCAACATCCACCATAGCAAGTTTTGTTGCAAATATTAATTACAAATACCCATAATACTCAGAGTGCTTTTAAAAATAAAATAATGACCTGAATACACAACAAAGCAAAGGACATCAACAAACTGATCCCATGAGAGGTGGGGCCATTGTCAGCGTCTCTAATAACTTCAGAAATGTGCTTATGAAAATTAGTAAGCATAATCAAAGAGAGCACAAAAGTGATGGACCCCGTGATGATGTCCCTGTGACATGTTTATGTATGTATTGACCAAAAAAAAAAAAGTTGTTTGTTTATTAACAGTTAAAATTCAAATTGTTAATTACACAGGATGGAGCTAAGGGTCTTCTCATAACTTTGATGAAAGTTGGATTCTCAAAATAAGCTATGTCTTGTATAATATTCTCTTCGTAAAGTGGAGCTGAATAAAGCAGTCACTATAGTCTGATAAGTATGTTGAAGAGGAGAGTTTGAGTTTCGTTTACCCATTACTCAAAGGATATGCGTGAGACTAAAGAAGCATGCAACTGACAACCTGCGGAACGCTGCACATTTGTAATGTTTCTTCCAAATGTAAATCCAAAGCTCTGGCTTTCTTCAGGCTCCATAATAGTGAGAACCAAGTTTGTATTTTAAGAATCTTATTTGTAACACATTTGAGATTATTTGTTAGTGAGCTTTAAACCTGCTATTTATTTCTAAATTCCAGTGTTTTCATTACCTGGATATTTTCACAAATGTCATTATTTTCAATGCTGTAAAATGCCTTATGTGCCTGTATTGAGAGGGGAGGATTCTGGAATGTTCTGACATCAAGAAATCCAAGCTTTTTGCTCATGAAGCTTACTTAACCTCTTGAAGACATTTTCATCTTTTTCTTTCCTACGAAGCAAAGCCCACAGCTGCATTGTCAACACCAGAAAGCAGTGCCAAGCCAGAAGGAGAACGTTGCCATCACATGTTGTGTTGTAAACTCCAGAAGGTGCCTCTCACAGGCCACCTAAAGCAAGTCAGACTTCCAAGAAGCATAGATTCATACACAGGTACTGTCAGGGGTGGACCGTCCCAGTGGGAGGACTGGCTGTGACCAGGCTCCCGGAAACCCAGAGTCACAGGTGGCTCCCATTTTCCCTAGCCCACATGCTGGCTCTATTGCGAAAGCAGAATTTAAACCGTGTTAAACTACATTAAACATACAGTGGGTCATCCGCCCCTCTCGAGTGAAGATAACAGATAAAATAGTCCTGCCTCTTTCTGGAAGGCAGGTTGGGGTCTCTCCTGCCCCCGATTACGGTGTCGGAACGGCTCAAGGGGTCCCTGGGCGCCGTTGGGGAGCCGCCTGCGCTGGAGGCGGGGCTGTGTGGTTGAGAGAGCCTCGCCCCGCGCCCAGCCTCGCCAGACCAAGCAGTCACTGGAATGCTCGTCACATGCCCTGTGGGTCACTCCAGTTGCTGTTTTCCTAGATCCACTCTATCTCCTGTGGCTCTCGATCGTCACCGCTGCTGGAGAATGATAAATGTGTTAGAGGCCACTGTCTTGTGCTTTGGTACCCTACATAAACCGGACAACACGTGCTACTGGCTCCTGGTGGACCTCGTGTGCGACGTCATCTACCTTTGCGATATGTTGCTGATCCAGCCCAGGCTCCAGTTTGTAAGAGGAGGAGACGTCATAGTAAGTGAGGCTGGGAGGGGCAGCAGCTGACAGGTGGGTACCAGGCAGGACTGCGGAAAACAAACTCACAGCGTTGTCTTGGCTCATGTCCGACTGGCCGTCTCAGCATGTGTCCCTGTCAGTCTTTAACCCCCGGAGGCCAGCAGTGTAATAGTAATAGCACCACCAACACCAGCACAGCAGCCACTGCGTGCCGGGGACCCCTCGTCTCCCTGGCCTCCATTTCCTCATCTTTGGGGCAGGGTGACAACAGCACCGTCCTGGCGTTGGGGATGCCGGACGCATCAGTGCGCGTAAGGGGCCTGGTGCGTGCGTGGGAAACACTAGCCCTGTCGCTCTGGACAGTTGACCCTGGCGCCTCCCTTAGCCCTTCCCGTCGCCCTGTGAGGAAGATGCTACCTTCACATGAGGACACGGGGGTTTGGAGAGGGCACGCGATTTGCTAGTTAATGTCCCGGGCAGGGCTCAAACGCAGACCTTCACTCCAGACCCACGCTCATCCCAGCTGCGCCGTGCTGGCTCAGGCTGGCGAGTTTTTCAGAATGCGATGGTAGCCGAGAGTACAAAGCTGACGCCAGTCTGAGGTGTCAGAGCTGTACACGTCGCATACCTACGTGATGCAGACGAATGTGTAAATTATCGGTGCAAACAGAAGGAATTTAATGTATATTCCTCTAGCAGTCGAACCTCCAAGAGTGAGCCGGTGGCTGCCTTCTCCCACGTCGCCGCCCGCCGTCCGCCTCGGGGCCGGGAGGGTGTCATGCGGTCTCCTCTGCAGGCCGCCGCTGCCATGACGCAGCCCAGGCTGTAAGCTCTGTAGGGCACAGGCTGTGTTATTGTGTGTCATTGTACGGTCAGCAGCGAGCACAGTCCCTGCCCACAGGACAGAAACCAAGTCCCGGATTTGTACTGGACATCCCAGGAAAACCTAACTTGACGAGAGAAACTGTCGTGACCCGTTCTGCCACTGCAGACCTCCAGTACTGTCCAGTGCAGCAGCCACCTGTATCGAGTCAAATTTGAATTTTAATTAATTAAGGCAAAATAACGTTAAAAACTTGGTTTCCCAGCCACACTCTCCGTGCTTCCAGCACCCCAAAGCCACTTGGGCCAAGGGCCCCCGTGTCAGACGGCCTGCGGCCATCCCACCATCATGACGCGCACTGCTGGGAAGTGCTGAAAGGGACTGAGAACAACCAGCCGTCAGCATCTCCATGGAGAGAGCCACACGATGAGCAGGAGCCCACTCACCCAGCAGACGGCGCAAACCGCAGACACCGAAAACACCATGTTTGGTGCGGCTTTTAATTACCGTGTCTGCCGGCATATCTTCTGCTCACTCCACTTTCCAGACTCATCACATCTCATTTCTCATCGTCAAATGCGGCACCCGCTTCAGAAGGTCGTGTTCATACCCTGGACTTATTCTGAGTGCTGAGGGAATTTCATAGCAAATCCAGTCATTCTAAGACAGAAACAGAAAAACATATTTTCACAGGCGCACACCCGAATCTCACAGCCTCTGCCCCCAGCCCTTCCCCAACTGCTGCCCAGTGTCGTGGCCTCGGCACAGCCCCAGCGAGGGCGTCTCCGAGCAGCTCTTCCAGGGCCACAGCACGGGCGCCGAGCGACCAAGGAGATGGCCCCTGGGGTCATACGTGTTTTTGAAGAAGAGGCAGGTTCTTTAATCTCCTGAATGTTCTCTTGAGTCTCCAGAGGATCTTAAATTATTAAAAATCTGAAAGTAGTTTTGGTTGGTTTGGTTTTTTTCACTATTACTTGCTTGGGAATGCCTCCTATTTGGGAAATCTTTCCTAGAAAGAAATTTTAAAGGCCAGAGCTGAAGCTGTAGCAGAAACCCGTTCACAGTATTTCCTCACACAGACGTCAGAGCCTTAGCTAACTCACCAGCACTGTCCCCAGAGCTCACTGGCAGCTTGATGAATGACAGTGACGGTATGCAAATACGAAGGAAGCAGCACACAGAAAAGAACACGAATTTCAACCTCCATTAGATCCACAAGGGGGGAGAAAATCAATGTGTGACAAAAGGAAAATGACAAAATCAGTAAGAGGAGACTTTTATTTTCAGTTTTCTAAGAGACTTTTGCACACAATGGAATGTTAAAACCAAGAGAAATAACCGATAAAAACATTCAATGAGCTCTGTTTAAAATGTGTTATCACAAGCAAAAGAAGTTTAATGGTTTCTTTAATTTAGAGTAGGTAGTTTTGGTTTTGAAGCTTGATGACGATGCCAGCTGAGCACCCAGCCTGAAGGCCTCACTGCGCTTAGCTGTCCCTTACAGCTCTTGGTGGACGCCGCCAGATTAGTCAATCATTTAGTCAGTCGTTATTTCATTCAACAAACATGTTTTAACTAACCACAGTTGCCAAGTATGCCAGGGCCGAAGGATGGAAATGTTAATTCCCCAAGGTCTTAAGGGAAAACAGAAACTGAGACAACCGATTGAGATGGTAAAGGCCACCTCAGAGGAGTCAGGAGGATTTACAAGTTTTCCGCCGCGTTTATCTGCAGTATCTTCTGAAGACGGTGCTGCACAAACAGAGCAGGGTATTTATTAATCAAGGACCAACAAGAGTCTCTCATCTGAGGTTCCCCTTACGGACAACAGACGTAGAGCAGAAATGACAGTGGGCATTACTGGTATATGAGACCCTCACACCTGCAGCCTTTTGTTAAAACAACCCATCATAAGGGCCCATGGGGATGGTCAGTGCCATCCAGTGACAGTGTCCATCAAACCTGCCCTTATGGTCCGTCACTTTGGCACTTAATCGTCCCCGTTACTGTTTATCAACTGACCCGAAGAAAATTAGCCACTCCCTTGTCAGGTGCTCTGTATACTTGACTCTACTTCTGTTATTTGTTAAATGGCAGGCTAATTATGATGTAGTGGAAACAGACCAGGGTCAGATTCCATCTCTGAAACTTACTAACAGCATTACCGGAAGAAAATAAATTTACCCTTTCATTAAATACTATCTCCTTCATCCATAAAATAGGATGAGTAGCACCCCCTCATAAAGCTACTGGTGAAGATGCACAGTAAATTCCTGAATGAACCAAGTGAATGCGTGTCCACACACTTAACTTCCCCCTCTCATCTCCTATTATACATGTAGCTGTCTTTCTGATTAGTTTCTTAAGAGTAGCAACAATATTCAGTTCATTTCCCTCTCTGTATTAGCAACTCAGCGAGTATACTCAAGAAATGTTAGAAGGAGTGAGTGAATGGCAATCTTGGTTCAAGGATTTCTTGCCTTGAATAATCTGCATTATAGTTGTTTCGGATGATATTATTTTGAAACAGTTCTATTTGTTCAATGTGAAATTATGAGGTTTTATGAACTGTTTTTCAGAAAAGGTAAATAATAAGTAAATATATTTATACCTGGGTAGAGCTTCTTGAAAAACTATCTCTTGAAAAGTTTTTAGGTGTAGTTAGCATATTCCTCCCAATGCAAACTTTCCCCTGAAGTGGTTACCTGCATACTGGTGAGGCTTAAAGAGAGAGAGTTAAGTAGGACATTTTAAAAATAAGTGCCTAACTGTAACCAGTAAGCATGCTGAGCCTCATAAAGCTAATGATACCACATTTATTTAGGGCTCTGAAGAAAAGGGATTTAGAATCACTAGATGGCATTTTCATTTAATCTGGCAAGTTTTATTTTCATTTACATTTATTCAATCTTATGACCATAGACAACCCTAAAAGTAACGGGATAATTGTGCTAAAAACATTCTTCCAGGGGAGGAGGAGGCATACAACAGGGCAAAAACGAAGCAAGTGCCAAGGAAGGTTTGTTTTTGTTTTATGATATGAGTGGATAGAGCATGTTTGTAGGCTGAAGTTGGAAGGAGCCAGTAAGAAAAATATCTAAATATTTTTTTAAAGTGAGAAAATATTTCATGAAATTGGGTAGAATCAATATGAAATATAACTATAATATATTTCAGGTGGATTCACATGAGCTGTTGAGGCATTACAGGAGTTCTACAAAATTTCTGGTAGGTGCCTTCCAATTTCAAAATTGTTCAAGCAGTCCATTGCCATTTTGACTTTAAGACTCATCTATAAATTTCTACCAAAAAACCTGCTTTCTTTCAGAAAAATAGCCTTTGTAGCAAAGTTGAAGCAGATGAGTTTCATTAGACAGAGGCAAACCTGAGGTTTTGCTTCTTAGTACTTGCACGATACACTTGTTCGTGCGTGCACATGTATAGTTCAACACATGGGTCTTTATTAGGCAGACAAATCATCCATGCCCATGTTGAAATTTTGATTTAAACGGCAGAAAAAGAGTTAGGGGTGTGTTTTTTTTTCTGTCTCGTTCATACAGAGTGCTAGCCTCCGATTCACGGAACGTGATGATGTAAAAGTCTATAAAATTGTTTCTACTCCTGGTTTTTTGTGTTTTTTTTTTTTTGGTTCATATAAAGAAAATAAAAAATAGAAAAGAAACAATTATTTATGTGACGTAGCATTTTTCTTTCCTCAAAGAGCAACATAATCTTACGGATTTTTTTCAGCCATAATTATTTACAGCCGAGTACTTTGTACTCTACTTGCTCCTCCTGACTCTGAGAAATAGGTAGCAGCTCAGGGCTCACCAAGGTCACCTGAGCTGTATGAGTGAGCGCCATCCTCCCAGTTTAAGGATGACATTTGAGTGCCTTCAGATTTTGTTTAAAACTACAAACCTGCATCTAGGTGCCAAATTATCCTTTTGACAATCTATAGTGGTTAAAATCCCTTTCAATTCATTTTTATCTCCAACTAATTTTTTTTGTAAAAAATATCCACATACTTAGACATATTTATAAAAGATCTACACTACTTTGATGAACTCTACAAAGTAGATGAATATTCTTTGTAAGTGCCGCAAGCTTATTCCAAACCCTTAATCACTTTCTTAAAATCAATAAGGGCAAATTAAGTCATGTATTTAATTTGGATTTATAAATGTAAAATTTTACATTTATTTAATTGTGGTCACTTTTCCTTTCGAATTCCCTTAGCACATTATGAATTATGAATTATGGCATGGTGTCACAGTTATTTTTGTGCTTGGTTATTCCATTTCTGGAGTGTTAATTTCTCATGGACAGAAACAATATCTTAATTTTATTTCAACCACCATGCTTTTCAGAGTACCTTGTACAGAAAGCAGTGTTGGTCAATACTTAATTCGATTTTCTACAATTCAATGAGAAATAAATCAACATATGGGTCTTTATTAGATAGAATAAAAAAAGGATCATCATCACGCCCTTCCTACACAAATCCATGCTAATGTGTGACTGTCAAACACGACTAGTGACAGTCTGCATAGAGAAGTCAAGTGGGCTGTTGAGTAATGGTACAGACAGCAGGTAAAAAGGTCATTATTCTGCCAGATTAGTACACGTACCGTTATTTTACATGTTATAAAGCTAATTGTACTCGAGCCAGGAAACAGGTTCTGGAAGCGCACTAGACGAGTCAACAGCTCCGCACTCCTGCATCCTCATTTGTCAGACGCTGTTCTAGTCACTGTTCTGTGCTCCTCTCAACTCGCTACACGGCTCGGCATCTGGAGCTTAAAATCAGTGGGGTTTGATCATATGATGCAATTTCTGAACCAGTACTTTTAGTAAGTAATTTGTTTATAATTGCCAATCTAGATAATTCAAACCAGAAGTTGCATTGCTTATCAGTGGTACTAGGCCATTGTGAAATTCTGGTGCACAGTTAATTACCTCAACTCTCCATTTCATATGTATGGCTTCACAGAAAGCTTTTAACTGCTCTTAATTGTCTTAAATAAATTAAATGTTTTTTAATGTACCCTATTTTTCGATACCATGTAAAAACTAATAAAAGTGCATAATTATCTTACATAAAAGAATTTGTATTATTATTGCAATCAGGAGAGTATGCAAGTATGATGTTATCATTTCACAATTACCAGGGTAATAGAAGGCCAGAATAATTTAAATACAGGAAAAATTTTAAAATATATATTTTTAGCTGTAATAGCACTTTTAATATCGTCTCCCATCAGAGCTGCTGGGTAATTGTAAATGGGACTGTTTTGTCCTCTCCTCTCTGAGCCTGCGTGGTCTCTGACAGATATTTTCTCAGCAGTTTGCTGTTAGCAATGTGACCCGGAGTAGGCAGCAGTAGAAAGACCCGAGGAGTCAGGATGAACAACCAACAATATACTCATTCCTTACCACGGGAGAATCAGCCGAAACATAAAAATATATCACTGCAACGAACAAGTAATGGTTTCAAATAAAATCAAGAATAGACTTGATTTTTAGTCCAAGAGCCCCATGTTTAAGATGCTTTTAAAATGTGTTTTAACATTAGCAACCGTGCCACCTCTGAAATGTACGTGGCGGCACAGTGAGCTCTCAGGAAGTGCGGTGCCTAAGAGCTCAGGCACAGGGAGGCGGGAACGGCTCGGGCCGGAAGCGGCCGCAGAGCGGTGCTTGTTCTCGTGGTGCCAACACGCCTGCCAGTGGCACCGCGCGTGTGCACCTGAAGGCAGGTTCGTATAAACAGCAAAGAACCCGTGGCGCCAGGTCAGCTTTTACATATGTGGGTATAAACCAGTCCATGTCTGAAACGCAGGTAAACACAGCGTGATTGTGAACATGCTCTTCCAACAGCTGGATGTCGCATCGGCGATGCCGCTGGATGTCTTGTGCCTCTACTTTGGATTTAATCCAATATTTAGAACAAATAAGATATTAAAGGTAAGATAACTGTGTTATTATTCTCAATTGTATTGTAATTGTCTTATTGTAATAATGGAGATCTTAAAGTGATTTAAAATATCCTAAAAGTACAGTATTCTTAATTTTTCCACACTGTCCTCCATTTTCTATCCTCATCAATGCTATGAATTTTAAAACTCAGTGAAGGAAAAATGTCATTGCTTCTACTGATGCAAGTTGCTCTTGGTTGTTTTTATTCTGTATCTCATAACAGGTATCTTTATAATCTGAGATGGGAACGCTTTGGCGATTATAAATAGAACTATGATTTTAAATGCATTTTATAATTTTATTCTTTTCCATTTGTCCTTTTTTATTAGGCAGTCACTGAATGCCTAGAATACTGTCTAAAAGGAGAGAGTTTGATTAGGTGACCCCTAAGTTATCTTACTCATCCAAAATTCTATAATTCTAGGAAAAAAATGCAAATATAACTTTTGCATAACCAAATTATTTAATTTGGGTACAACTCAAATGTCCATCAACAGAGAATGAGTTAAATACATTGTGGTACATCTATATAATAGAAGACACTTTGAAATGCAAAAAATTACGTAAAGAGGAAGTTTTCTATGAACCGGTATTAAAAACATTTAAGATAAATTGCTAAGTTAAAAAACGAGCTAGTTACAGAACAGTTTATAGAACAAAACTAACTTTAGTATAACAGAAAGGAGAAAATATTCCATTTTTCTGTATTTACTTAACAGCAGAGGGCGTCAAAAAATATAATAAAAATGGTTAACTGAGGCGAGGATGGGAGCAGGAGGGAAAATCAGATGGATAAAAGGTAGGAGTAGGAGCAAGACTTTTGAGTATATATTTGCTATTGTTTTTGAACTCTGTGACAATAAACAAGTTACCACAAATTGAAATTACCTAAATCTGAATGTTTGAGGGACTTCTCCTACTCAGGAATTCTGGAAAAACAAACCATTTGTATATAATCTAGTTAGAGTCATTACTATTATATCTGTTTTTATTTTTAATTCCAAATGTTATATTACAGTCATATCTACACTGGATGAAATTTTGAACTAAATTTTTAAAATAATTTCTAATAGTCCCTCCTAGCTGTTAGATCCTGGGAGTCCCAGCACATTAAATAATTAAATACATTAACTCGTATATGCACAAACCCCGTTAGGGGGCATGTTCCCCTGTTGTCCCCATCTTACAGATGAGGAAAGTGAAGGACAGAAATGTTAAAGACTTTTCCAAGGTCGCAGTGAGTAAATGGAAGAGGCCACGTTGGTGTTTGCGATTCCATGCTCTCACTCTAGTGTTCTGCTGACTAGAGGTATGGAGGGGGCGGGGGGCGGGCCGCAGGGAGTGTGAGCTGAGCCAGACCTAGACG